TGCTGGGCCGCGTCTCGGGCGTTTCACATCTGAGGCGCCGAGGGGAGGAAGGAAGGGAAGGGAAACGCCGAGAGAGAAAGAGAGAGAAGAGAGAGAGAGAGAGTGTGTGTATGTGTGTATGCACAATAATGTCACTCACCCCCGCCTGCCTGCCTGCCTGCCTGCTTGCTTGCAGAAAACCTGCAAGTTCCGCAGCATGCAGACAAGCAGGTCATCTGGGCCGCCTGAGGCGGTCGTCTCATTGGCCAGCGGCTCTCTCCTTAGCGGCAGGTATGCAACCAGAATATCGAGATCGGTGGCGGGCCGCCTGGTGTGTCGGCCGATCTGATTGGCCGGTCATCACACCCCCGCCAGCACCCGCCCACCCGTCCGCCCGTCGAATCGAGCGACGACGCGCCAAAATCGCGCCAAAAATGCGTTCGTGTCAGCTCACGGCGCGCGACGTGGAACACGTTCTTTTTTTTCTTTCCTTCTGAAAAGACGCGTTCAAATGACACCTCGTTCCAACCCTCGGGGCTGGTAGCCATTGGCAAATAATATTGAAATGTCCAATTGTGTCACACGATGCTCATCACGGGTCATTGTTTGCAACATGATAAGCATTGGGGGTGTATGGAGAACCAAAGAACGAAAAAGGTACGTCCACCATTCTGTCCCAATCGCTCAGAAACAAGAAAAAAGCCATCGCGACAACCGCAGCGCGCCATGTAGCGTAAACCCATTCCTGCCGCGTCTCCACCCCCCTTTTGCGTTGTGTCCTTTTCTCTTCGCTCCTCATCCGCACTATGCATTATGACAAAAAAAACAGGCTGAAAGACCAGAGCATCTGACTCTGGGAGGAATACCACATAGGGAGATGCGCCAAATGGGTGTCGGCGAAAAAAAAAAAAAAGGCAGACAACAAGACTCCCAAAAGGCAAAACAAGAGATCCTGTCATGTTACTCCGTTAGACATAAGAGAAAATAAAGAAGAGACAGTAAAGACCATCCAGTAGCGAGACGAAGCCAGAAAGAGGTGGAAAAGGTAGAAAGCCAACAGGTATCATGGGCGCCGCCCCGGGCAAAACATGTCTAGTAGTAGTAGTCGAGTAATTCAGGGGAAATCGTCAAACGTGAGCCGCCGCCTCGTCTCGCTGATGGGCGTCCTGCCGGTGCCGGTGCCGGCGCCGGCGCCCAGGACCACGGGCGTCTTGAAGCCCCTCTGCACCGGCGCCGGGCTGGGCGTGATGTTGACAAAGTCGGCAAAGTCGAACGTCTGGAACGACGGCGTGGCCGGGAATGGGTTGCCGCCTCCGGGCGTCGTCATCATGGACGACGGGAGCGCCATGCCGCCGCCACCACCACCGCCGCCACCGGCCGTCCTTGGCGGCGGTGTGGACGGCGGGTCCATGCGTGCCGCCGCCGCTGCCGAGAAGCTGTTGGCTGCGCGGCGGGTTGCGGACCGTGTGGCTGGTGATGGCGAGGCGGCGAGGTACAGCAGCAGGTCGGCAGCATCCTCGCCCGTCTTGCCATTGTTGCCAGCCCCGCCGTGCTGCGCGCCGTCGTCGTCGCCGTCGCCCTTGTGATTCCTGCCGCACCTGTTGCGGGCCAGACTCCTGTTGCGCATCGGCGGTGTCTGGGGCGGTGAGGAGCGCATGGCGGCTGCCGTCGCCGCGGCGCCGCTATGGTCGCTGAAGGCGTCGGGGTCGCCATGCTGCAGCGCGAACGAGTGCACGGGTAGCAGGTCATCGTCGTCATCCGACAGGTTGGCGGCGTAGTTGACGGGCGGCGGCGACGACACGACCAGGGCCTCCGAGATGCGGTGCGATCCCTTAAACAGTGACACATCAGGCCCTGTGGATGTCGTGAAGTGCTGCTGCCGGCGCGGCTTGATGGGCGACGACTGCGCCAGCTGGTTGTGGTTGCGCCACGCCGAGCCGCCGCCGTAGCCGCCGCCGAGATCCAGGTTCCCACCGCCGCCGACTGCTGCTACTGCCGCCGCCGCGGGGTTTAGGGCCCTGGCCCTGGCCCTACGTGGGGTGGGAGAGGAGCGGAAGCGCTTACTGGGGCTCGACAGGGTGGCGTAGTGCGGAGGCTGCTGGCTGCCGCCGTCAAAGGTGGCCATGTAGGTGCGCTTGCGGTGGTAGCCGGTGCTCCCGCCGCCGCTGCTGGGGCCGATGGCGTCTGAGAAGAAGATGGGGCCGGCGGCCTTGAGCGGTGAGCTCGTGAGGGCGCGGTTGTTTGCCGACGAGGAAGTGGGGTAGTATGGCAGGTCCGAGGCGCTGCTGCTCGACGAGTCGGACAGCATGTCGCCTTCGGCCAGCATGCGCCGACGCCGCCTCTCCTCCTCGAACCTGGGCTCCAGCGAGTCCAGAGTCAGCTCCTCGAGGCCGTGCGTCGTCTTGAACTTTGCAAGCGCGAGGCTGTTCTGGAGTCTCCGGGCCATCTGGCGGTAGACGAGGTTAGTTAGCTGGCGTGGAGGGAGATGGGGATGAGGGCTCGAGGCGGTGGCACAACATGACAAAAAGTACAAAGAAAAAGAGAGGTGAACCAACCTTTCCCAGCTCTGCCCTCCTCAGAACCTTGTCAGCCACGGCATCAGGCTGCCTTGAGAAGGAAATCGAGGTGGACGACATTGTCATTGTGCTCGCCATCGAGTCGGTGACGCCTCTGTGACAAGAGTTGGGGTAGATGTCGTGGCGATCCAAGAGTCCCCTCCTTCCCTCGCCAGGTTTTGGTACTAGCGGGCGTGAAAGTCGGGGAGGGCGCAGATCGAGGTGGTGGTGTAGGTGGTGGGTGGTGGGTGGTGGGTGGAAGAGAGTGGTGGTGGTGGTCGAGTAAGTGAGATGATTGGATGTCGTCGGACTCGTACTGGCGGCTGCTGGCGCAGAAGGAAGGACTGGGCCGAGGTGAGACGAAGTTAAAAACAAGTAGTGTGGTTGCGTTAGGGTAGGCAGTGTACTGGGCTGGTGCGAAGAGTAGGTAGGCAGCGAATTTACAAAGGAGTGAGTGAATCGACAACGCTCAAAAATTAGGTAGATCTGGGCCGTGAGAGTCGAGAGCGCTGGCTGTTGGAAGCAAAATGGGAGGGAAAAAAGGTGGAGGAAGTCTGGGGCCGCCTCCTTCGTCAGGTCGCCGCTTTCACGCCCGTCGTTAGGGCGCCCGCCTTTTTCCGCCCAGCAAATTCTCATTCCTGTGGAAACCGGCAGCTGGGTCAAGGGTCAGCAAAAAAAAGGAGGGAGATTAGGTGAGCGCCATCAACTGGAACGTGCCACTCCCCAGGGCTGGGGTGGGTTGAGCTCCCCTGGGCTGGGGCACTGGGGCTTGCGATTGGCATCTGGCCTATGGGGGCGCCCGTTCAAGGCGCACGGCGCACAGCACGGCTACAGGGGGCGGTGCGCCCAGGGCCACTAATTTGCCAGCCCGCGACGGGGGGGTGTGGGCGTGGTGGGCTCGTCGAGGTGCCGTGCTCGATTGCGATCAATCAGACTCTGGATCGAGAGACCCCTTTTCGCGACCGTCCGTCTGCCGTCCGGACTGGATTGGACGGTTTCTTGATTACTTTGCTGGTTTGTTGTTGTTGCACAAGAGGTATTTTTCCAGGCGGACTCGCTCAATCTCTCAATGGCCAGCGTCAATTGCAGTAGACCGTCAGTCTCAGCCCAATTCGGGTGGCGCAGACGTGCATGAGGCGGCTGCGAGGCTGCACCTGTGTCCACGATGATATCAGAGCCGATTTACCTTTGCCATATCAGAGCCACGCAGCTGCGCCACCAACCCCGGCGACCCAGCAAGGCGGGTCAAACTCCTGCACGTCAAGCTATTGCGGAAGAGGCAGCCAGATGGCAGAGAGCCGTGGCGCCCAGACCTCGCAGCGTTTGGACACTTTGTTTCCGAGTGTAGACTCCACAAAGAAAGGCGCTTCGAGAAGAAACGGGTGGGTGCTGCGTGTGCAACCCCAAGGACCCCAGGACGGCAACTGGACAGCCCATCTTTGTCTCTCGGAGCACAAACATTTACCACCAGCAAGACAAACATCACATCACATCACATCACATGGCGAGAAGTCTTCTTAGCGGCCATCGATGTGTCAACAGGGCAAGACTGTGGGAGATGGCGCGGTGCCGAACGGTGGCCTGTGACAAGGCCTCCCACAGACGCGGCGCCAAACGCCATCAGTCTAGGTGGACAACAACAGCAAACCGGGAGCGCCGTTGCTCCTGCCGTGCAACCAGGACAGGGCCCGGGTTAGGAGGCCATGTGGCCATGGGGGCTTGATCGGCCAGTTATATATAGTGCCCCCCATCCGCGTTTAAACAGCGGGCAGGCGAGGGAGATAACGAGATGTCGGGGCCGGCGAAGGCATTGCCACAAAGGGGGCCGACGTCACAGGGAGGCGTGTCAGGGATGGGGCCCGTTCACTGGCTCACAATTCAAATCCCTGCCCGCCGAGGCCGTGTGTCAGTGCAGCTTTGCGCCATCCGCGCACCAATGGGAGCCCCGCCACATGTGCAAAAGCTTGTTGTTGCGCAAGCTGCGGCGCTGCTGCTGCTCCCCACCTGGACGCCGTTGGCCGGGCAGCTCGAGAATAACACGGGCGATTGGCGCACGCTAGAGGAAAGCAGGAATGGCGACACAACCAGTTGGCGAATCGACGTCGACACGCTCCCTGTCGCCCAAAAGGCGCAGGAGCCGGTTTCCGACGGGCACTGGGTGCCTGGGGTGTTGGCCAAGCGTGGCGGGATCGGCGAGTGCTTGTGTGTGTGTGTGTGTGTGTGAGGCGGGAGGTTGGTATTTATCAGTGACGAACGGAGCTGCAGTGGTGGTTTTGTTTGTTTAGAAGTTGCTCTGATTCCCTGATTGAAAGCTCGACAGCAGACAGCAGCCCCTGGAGCTCGATGCCGGGCCCACCACACCACTCGTATTTGCCCCAACTCGTAAAAAGCCGTCGAGGGCGTCAACACGGGCAACCCCGCATCACTATGCAATAAAACCAGGCGAGCCGGCCAAAAAGGGTGGGGGCAAGGAGCTGTGTCGGGCAAAGAGTGTTGCAACAAGCTGACGTCGTAATGCGGCAACACTGCAGCCCGCCGGATGCAGCCACACATCACATCGGTCTTCCATCATACTGTGCTGTATGTACATGCACATCCATTTCTTCCCCAACGTTGTGCCGATGTGCTGTGTGTGTTTCTTGTCTCGGTGTTCCTGTCTCGGTGATATCCCCCTCCCAGGCGGTGTCCGTCCCATGCGGGCTGCCGGACACACTCCGGCCGGTAGAGCATCATGTTGCGATGCGTTGCACGGCGTCAGCGGCAACATGTCATTATGGCAATACATGTGCAATGGAAAGAAGGAGGTGGTGGGCATCAGGGTGGGCATCAGACCCCGCCTGGTCCCCCTCCCAGACAGTGCCTTATCTGGCCGCAGCTCGAGGTTGTCGCGCAACATGCGGTCTAGTCTAGTCCCATCCAGACCCGGCTGCCGCAGCCGAGGGCGGCGAACAGGCCAAAGAGGCGGTTACTGCTAACCCGATAGGCCGCGACCGATAGGGCGAGGACTATATGTACCCAATCTAGTTGCGACGAGCGCCTGATTCATGATTGCATATCTTCATCACATTTGACTCTTGCGCGCGTTGCCGATTCTCGTCCTTGGGGAGCTGGGACGAAGACGCGAGACGGCGCAAAAGGTCGAGATGCAGAGGCCAAGTCTGATGTCGATTCTGATGTCGGCATGGTGTGGGAGGCGGCGCGGGCCAGCAGAGAGCCACAAGCAAAGGTCCAGATGGTGTCATAGTCGGCCCACTCGTATGTTCCCCTTTTGGGAGCCTCTTGCCCGTGTCGCTACGCGCTACTCGTAAATTAAAAACCCGGTCGCATGCATCATCCTTCCCATGGGGTGTCTCTGTCTTTTCTTGCTCAGCGGCTGGCCGGGGCCAGGGGGGCACAACGGTGACCCAGGTCCTGTTCGCCCGTGTCGCAAGCCCAAGACAGGGAGGGGGAGGGCGACACAGCACACAAAGGCGGGTGGGTGGACAAGGGAATGATAAAATAAAATACATCAATGACGAACGGCGGGGTGGCAGCGTCTAGAAATAAACAGGTCGATGGGCACTGGTGATCGTATCCGACTTATACAGTAGGTGCCGTCAATCGAGATCCGAGCCCAAACCCTCATCTGTTCCGGCCTTCTGTTCCGGCCTGGAACCTCCATCTCTGATCTCTGTCTCTTTTTCTTTTTCTCTCGCCCCATCCGAGTCGTTCTGTCGCCTCTGACGAGTCCGCCTACGTAACCCTCGAGTCACCTCCTGCAGCCACCGCAGTAGTCCGGAATTCCGAGGTGTGATAGGGGGGCGAGTGCTGGTGAGATCAGTGATCCATGCAGCTCTCTCATGGGCGTTTCGGTCCGCCGCGTGCTTCGTGGCTCTGTATCGCACCGCAGCACCTGCAGGGCTAACGTATGTGGATTTGTCAAAATATCGCCCTAGTCAGTCCTTCTGCTGTTTCGCCTGCTGCCCCAAGGAAGAGGCTGGCGCCTTTTGTTTCGCCGGCCTTTGCCTGTCACGGATATCCCGGGCTAGTCGCCGCCCAGGCTGGCCACCGAGAGGCGAGAGGCCTGAGGAGCGCCTCTTTTCCATGTCGGGCGTCCATATCGCTAGCACGACGAAAGCAGCTCCGCAACCAACCAGATGCCCTGATAAGAAATCCCGGGCTCCTACTAGCTGATCCACATCTCAACCTTGCCATATCGCCTAACCGCCCTCCGGTTCTGGTTCCCGTCGAGTCGAATTCCTCGCTTGCCCTATCACTGCCGGCCGTTCGAAAGAAGAAGAAGCGCCCGGGCCAAGAAACGCTTCCATCGGACTTTGCCAAGGTCTCCCGGGGGTTGGACACCACCTCACTTTTTTCCAAGACTAGACGGGCCCACACACCACGACTGGGCCGTCATCTCCCGTCGTGGCTCCCACGCAGCGGCGCCTCTGATCCGCGTCTTGTTTGTTTCGCACAAGAACTGCAGCAAGAAAAAAGAAAAGAAAAAGGTGGGCACACTTGCATATCAAGCTCCGGACACCGTCTCTGATCGACGCACATCTGGCGCCTAGTCAATAGGTACAGAGCCCGACCTGTTCAAACCGTCCAGGCGGACTCTGTGTCCGGCTGGTATATCCGCGTCGATCTCCTGCGAGGTGGCCAGCAAGCAGCTTGTTTGTTTGTTTGGTCTTTTATTCTGTGTGCAACACCACTTGACGAGCCGACCTCGAGTGACCTCTCACCTGCAATCTCCTTGCTCCCATTGCTTTTGCTTCCATTTGCTCTGCTCTCCTCGGCCCTCCTGCCACATCCATCGCAGGCCCCGGGTCCTGTCCCCTCCTGTCCCCTCCTGTCCCCTCCTCGACCACGGTCCGGGTTGAAACGGTCGACGTCATCGATAGCTCGTGGTGGCAGCGGTGCCGCCTCCACTCGGAGCGCCAAGGGATCCAGTTGGCAGGTTCTGCCTCTTTGATTGCCGGCTAGCCCTAGCGCCTGATCCCGGCCCGCCCTGTGTGCCTGGGTTGGCTGGTCTCGAATTCGATTCAGGCCAGCGCACAGTAGCAGCGCAGCAGGAGGCAGCTCGAGGTACAAGTACTAGTACAGATACCAGCTGTACTGCATAGACCTAGCAGGCGGTGGGGGCCAGACCTGATTGATACCAATTGATACCCACCGTGCGCCAGCTGCTCCTGCAGTCTGGTAAAGTCAAGCACACAGCAGCACAGCACAGGTGGAGTGGCCGCAGGCGCCTCTCACTTTGCGACCTGCTGCCCTGCAAGGTTTGTGCCAGCCTACGGCCACGGCGAGATTTGCTACTGCCTGACAGGTACGTACCATTCCCTGCTTCCCGTATCCGTCAATCCCAGCACTACGAGCTCCATTGTTCCTGCAAGCAAGGCCCAGCGGGCTCCATCGGGGCTGCTGCCACTTGCACCTCGTACTGTACTGTCCCCTCTGCTCGCCTTTTCCCGTCGTCATTTTCCTTCCGTCTGACGCTTTCAATCTTTTGCTCTTCTTCAGTCTGCTACCCCGCCTGTATTGTCTTGCTTCCTCCCCGTCTTTCGTCACTGTCTTTTTTGTTGTTTGCTGTCGTCGTTGCTGTCGGCTGCTCTTCTTGTTGCTGCTGCCGCTGTCCTCCCTCGCTGCGAACAGACGCCAATCATCCCATAAGTGGGCTTGTCTTTTGCGCCTCTCGCTTGTTCCTGCTTCCTTTTTTTCTTCTTTTATTTTTTTCTTATTTCTTTTTCTTTTCTTTCTTTTCTTTTCCATCCCCTGTCTGTCATCGCACACATCTGCGCCCTGGTGCAACGGCCTTGTATGGTGTTTGGTTTTTGCGACTGCGCGCCTGGGTTGGTCGGTGTTTGTTGACTTTCTGCGTTCCTGGCCTCGCCCAACAAGCTAGCCGATGCTCTCCAAACGCTCTCGTTCTCGCATTTTTGCGCCCACAGACGCCAATTCTCGCCAATTGGCCGGGCACGACCTCGAGTTGACTCCCGCAGCGTTCGAAAAGGCGCACGAGTCCCGGGGGTCCAAGGACAGGGCCAAGCCGGCCATGGCGCCTCTGTTCAACGCCCTCAAGAGCCTGCGCCGCGCCTCCAGGCAGAGCTTCCGCGCCCCAGAGTCGTCCGAGTCTTCGAGTGACGCCGACGCCGCTAGCAACGGCACGGCTCCCACCAGCGGCTCCATCACCCCGCCCTCCATCTCGGCCCAGTCCGACCCGGCCATCAACCTCAAGTTCGTCAGCGGTGACGTCGATGGCCCTTACCCCGTCGCCGCCCGCCCGCCCCTGAGCGGCCACGGCTCCGGCACCAACCTGAACCGCTATAGTATGTTCGGTCCGGGTGGCATGTCGCCGCCAGCGCCGCGCCCGCCACGGGGCAAGTATGCTCCTCGGCTCACAAACCTCGAGGACAGGGTGTTTGTAAGTCGTCTATGTTGCCCCTTGGAGCCGTCCAAGACTGCTGACCAACGGGTATCCAGGTCCACCAAAAAATCTTGGCATTACGGGGTGAGGTGGGCGAACCAGGAAAGCTGGTCGACGGCACGGTGACCATCCACTACCAGAACAACCAGATGCCCTCAATTGACTTCCCCGTCTGCGCCTCCAGCTTCAAGGCGCTGGTTCCTCTGATCCCCGGCACCAACCGGCTTCGAATAGACTATGCCGGCCCCAAGCACACCCGGCCCGAGCAACAAAACTCCTCCTGGATCACTGTTAACTACGTGCCGACGACCAACTCCCCACCCCTTCAGCTTGCCATCCTGGTTGCCAAGGACTCCCCGAGGACCTTCGACTCGATTCCCAGCCGGATCGACCGCGAGGGCAACGGGCTCGACACCGCCATCCGCAAGTTCAGGATGGCTGCCTACCTGTGGCAGGCCTTTACCGGCGAGCAGATGGCCCGCCACGCCCGGGAGGAGAAGATGCGGATCGACTCGCCGCGTACTGCCGGTGGCGTCATAGAACACAGGTCGTTTCGGTTCGAGGAGGAGTGGACGTTTGGGACGTCCAACGCCCGGGACCGAGAAAACGGCACGATGCGCTCCGAGGCCCGTGTCCACATCATCGAGATGGACAAGACGGTCGCCGAGATCCGGGACGCCGACATTGCCCAGCAGAACGACAAAGCGAGCAGTAGGGACGGGCTTTTCGGGATTGCCATGGACGCGGTCAATCACTACTTCAAGGCGCAAGAGGGCCAGAAGACGTACGTGGCCGCGCTGATCCTGGACTCGCACTGGGACACCACGGCCCAGCTGATCACGGGCCACGCTGCGCTGGGAGGCGGCGATGGGCAGACAAATGTGGCACTGTTCGGATCGCACAGCCTGTGGAGCTACCCGACATGTCTGGAGGAGGTTGAGGCGTGCTTTACCGACTGCAACCCGACCGACTTGAAGCTCGTGGCCAACGACTGCCGCGAGGCCGGGAGCAGCTGGGAGGCGTGCAACATCGGCATCGGCGCACATCTGCATGAGGTCGGCCACCTATTTGGCCTGCCGCACCGTCCATCCGGCGTAATGGCCAGGGACTACGTGCGGCTCCACCGGAGTTTCGTCAGCCGCGAGGCCTTTTGCACCAGGACCAAGGAGAAGGGCGGTCCCGTAGCAGACAAGGAGGAGTGTCAGTGGACGTGGCTTGACTACCTGGCCCTGCGTGTGCACCCTTGCTTCCAGGTCTCGATCGACAATATGGCAACGGACCCGAGCGTCGTAGCCTGGCCCACGGACCCGGACTCCATCATGATCACTTCACAGGCCGGCATTTCGCATGTCGAGCTGTACCTCAACGGCGAGGAGGATTGCTGTGAGACGATCACGTACGACCGCGACGTGCGCTCAACCATGCTGCGCGAAAAGGAGCTCCGCTACAGGCTGCCGTCTGGCAAGCGCAGCGTGCCCTTTAGGCTCGTGGCGAGGTCCTACGGCGGCGGCGTCTTTGAGACGGCCGACTTTGGCAAGCTGGCGTCTGTTGACTCGAGCTTCAAGGTCGACGGGCGGACCATCTGGCGGAGCACCAAGCTGGGGCTCTCGAATCTCGATGACTCGGCCGATGAGCAGGTCGTCTTTACGACAGCGCGCAAGCAGACCGACGAGAACAAGGGCAGGATCCTGCGCCGCTTCGTCGTCTACCACGGCCAGTACCTGAACGGAATCGAGTTTGTCTATGACGACGAGTCGCGGCAGCTCTTTGGAAACAAGGGCGGCAAGCCCGGCGGCGACTCTTTTGACCTGAACATTCTCCGTGGCGAGCAGCTGGCAGGCTTCAAGGTGAAGTCGGGCCACTGGATCAACGCCATCCAGATCCTGACGGACCAAAACAGGAGATCCCCCTGGTTCGGCGTGCCCTCCAACACGGGGGTTAGCTTGTAAGTGGACCGTATTCTTACCTTGGAGCCACCGCGTTGCTGACACAGCAATTTCTTTGACAGATCACACCTGGTGCCTCCAAAGGGGTTCCAAATCTGCGGTGTTTCCGGCAGCTGCGGCCCTGACACATGGGTGGACGGCTTCTCTATCCTCTACCGCCGTGGGTGATTTGGATGCAATCACCCTCTCGACTTGACACAAAGTAACCATGTCTCCAACTACAGCGCACAACATAAAACTTTGGACACCATACACGCGCGCAGCAGATGGACGGACCTTGAATCGGAGCTGCTGCGCCATATACCAGGCATCGGCCTTGGGCTTGCGAGCCCCTTATTGTGCCACCGATACTTCTCCTTGTCTTCCCAGGGTCATATGGGTCGACACTTCCACACCTCGTTTTCTTTGGACGTTCCTTGTTACTTATTCTTTTGTTACCGGGGCCTCACCGTACATATTAGGGTTGGCTTGATACCCATTCTTGGCCATTGCATCTTTTTTCTTTGTTCTCCCACATAAACCTCCACGCACCGACGTGGGTCGCTCACCGGCGCAACGATCACCACCTTAATCAACACACCCTCACACAAGCTGCGGGTGTCGGCGGCCGCCTTCACCACTGACGCAGTGCTGATGGAATCTGTTCATATCGCCATCGCCTTTTCTGGCAGGACTAATAACTTGGGTTGAGCTGGGCTAGCTGTCGAAGCAGGATATTGCACTGGCGCTTCTTGTGTTTTTGAACCCGTCAGTTGGAACAAGCGCAGACGGTTTGATGGATAGGGCGCTGCGGTGTCAGAGTTATTGGTATCTTTTTTTTCTTCTTCGTTTCTGTTTCCTGTTCCTCCCATGCTTTACTGGGTTGGGGAAAATACGGCATCGATTTGGCACACGCAAGCAAAGCATTGGGTTTCGGGTTTCTGGTGTTAGTTTTTCTTCCATTACTACTAGTGTCGGTCTCGTGTCGAAGAACACACCCTGCAGCATACGACAAGCATATGATTTCTCTTTAATTGCCTCGCTCGTCTCTAATGTCTCAAGTCTCGTTGCAGTGTTCGTAAGGTAGTTGATTCCAGTTGCCAGGCGACGTTTAATTGGGGGCTCCCTGTCTCATTCGGACGAAAGCGGCTGGTTGTCCTGAACAGAACCACATGCGGTTCTGGAGAGACTAGACAGGCAAAGAAAGCTTTTGCACGAATCAGGCGAGCACACTCGGAGCAGTACTTTAAATACTAGACTCTATGCTGGGCAGATGGCATCGAGGAAACCATCCATGCCCAGGCCGGGGGAGATAGGTAGGCATTGGTAATGTCTAATTTCATGACTGTTGCACGAAGCCGAGGGGAGCCGGTCGGGTGTTGCAGGTCTGCTTCAGCGGCCGGCCCGTCTCTGGATTGCGTCTGCGGTTGTTCTAACGGGAGCCGGGCCTTGTGACGGGCAGCCGTGTTACGTTCGTGAGACGGTTTGAGGCGCCTTTAGTTCATGTACCACCTGTGCCACCCACCATCTCTGTCTCTGACGGGCTCCAAGAAGTGATATGCGTGGCTGAGGAAGTTGGCGTAGGGGGGTTGTGCTGGGATTCTGGTATTTCTCTCTTGTTTGCCTGGAGAGGGACATGGAGCGTTCTCCACAAGACACATGCCCCTTCGCCGACGCTGACGGAGGCGACGCCGTCTCACAGGCGGTAATTCATTCATTCATTCACTACCCTCCCCAATTCGGGAATCATCTTCCCCATCTCCCTCCGCCGACGCCCCGGCGCGGGTGGAGGAGGAGGCCCGCGGGGCACGTTGCCTCGCCGCCCACCCGCCCGCCCGCCCGCCTCACTTGGCCGCCTTGTCGGTGGCGGTAGCGGCGCCAGCGACGATGCGGGCCTGGTCACGGGGCGAAAAGGACGCGGCACCCTGGCGCAGGGCGCGCACCAGCATGGGCACGGCGTCGGGGCCGCGGAAGTCGTCGGCGGCGCGCACGCGGTCGAGGTCCTCGGCCAGCTCGCGGGTGGCGCGCTGCAGGTAGAAGGCCTCGAACTCGGGCGAGGCCGAGGGGGTTGCGGCGGCGGCGGTGGTGGTGTCTTTGCTGGCCATTGTTGGGTGAGTGGGTTGGGTTGTTGGTTTGGAGGGTGGTTGTGGTTTGAAGTTTTTTTTCTCTTTTTTTCTCTCTCTCTCTCTTCGGTCGCTATCACATGCTCAGGGCTGCTTGTTTGCGACACTGACATCAAGGTGTACTGTGGGGCGGCACGGAAGGTTGCACACCAAACTTTCCGACGATAAAGGACGACAAACAACCAATACCAGCATGGCATTCACGCCTGAATCCTTCGGCCAAACCTCGGTGCCTACCAACGGCGCTGGAACCGCCCAAGAGCCCCCCTCCCAAGAGCCTCCCTCCCACTCTATTTCGGGCGAATGCCTATTGCTTTTCATAACAAACCCCCTTTTCCCATCCTATTAGCGTGCTCCTCCTTGGCAAACAAACACAACAAAAGAAGAAAACCTCACCGCCAACTCCCTCGGATCGCTAGCGCACATGTCGAAGGATTCGCAACCCACCTGCCGGGAAATGGAGCCAGCCCTGGCTTCGGTGTCCCCAGCTCGGTGCCCCATGTCGCCGCCATCAAGGTCTCATATGCGCCGAAATAGGAAGTCGGAAAGTCCGAGATGGCGCTGTTCGTTATGGGGGACAGGACACCCCACGTCAAAGCACGGCAGCAGGGGCGGATGGATCCTTGCTGTGCCTGGGCGTGGGAGGGATCAGTTTTTAGGTAGCCAAATATAGAGATTGAAAGTAGGTGCGACTTATTTCCCGAGGCCCGGTGGTTGCGACGGGCGCGCGTCTACGGTCTGGCATTGCCCGCGGATTACTCACGTCATGGTCCTGGTCTGGTAATGTAGGTGGCCGACGGGTAAGCAGCGACACAGCCTGGACATGATGGCATTTCGGAGCTCTCGTCATGGGGAATAAGCTCTTCTGGCATTTGCGGGCAAAATGTGGCTACCTGGTAGGTTCCAGTTTACCTAAATCATCCCACAGCTTGGGGCTTCGATCCAGCCTCGCTTCAGATGGATTTTTGTGCGCAGCAGCTCAGCAATGCGAGGCTTCGACTTCCAAGGCCGGTGAGATTTTAACGGGCAAAAGGCCCAGCAAGGCAAGAGGCCCAGGAAATTAGCCCAAGATGACAGGAAGCGTGGCGCGGGCGCGGGCTCGGGGCTTTGTGGTCGGGGCTGGTGAAGGCGTGTGCGCGAGCGAGGATGGGACTGGCCAATGGGAGGTGTGAAAAAATCTCCTTGTGCGCTATAGCAGGATCTACCGGGGTTGAGAAACATTGCGGGGAGAAGCTGCAAGTCCGAGTCGTCGAATTGCAGCTTCGACTCAGCAAGCATTTGGGATCAAAAACCGCGCCGCGGGGACGGACGACACGAGACTGCCGCAGTCATGTGACGCACGGTACTTTCATCTTTCATCCATGTTGTCTGTTTCCACTCTTCTAGTGGCTGGGCGATGATTCCTTCCAGCTGTGCTTTTGCTGGTGACCCACACGTTCCACACGTCCCCCCACAGGCCAGGAAGGCCAACTCAGCAGGCAGTGAACGACGGTGAACGACAGCAGCACTCTCCAGCCCTGGTCCAAATCACAGACCGAATCAGCAGTCTTGTTTCATGTCCTGCAGACCTCCGTTGGGGGCTGCACCATTCTACCATTCTATTCTCAGAGCGAGCCATCCGTTCTGCAAGCGCGTGGGGTAATTGGTGTCTGGGCTCGGCATCCCATCCCACAGGCTGGAAGTCAGGGACTGCCTGCCACGCCTGGGCCCAGCTGAGCTGGGCGACTTCCCTCTGGGCGACTTCCTGTCGTCCTCGGCTGGCCTGGCGTCGGTGAGGATCGCGGCTAGGATCCATGCTTTGCATTTTCGACTGTCGCCGCTGTTGTCCAGTCCGGCAGGGTCCCTGACCGCTCGTGATCCTTCCTAGCAAGGCCAGTACGAGCGGCGTCTAGTCAAGATGACATACGGAGTGAGGCCGGTGGTAGGTGATAGGTGGTAGGCACATACCTATTTTAGCAGGGCTTGAGTCTTCACCCAGCTCTTGGCTTCCTGCCGTCTTCTTCACATCCCCTTTCGTTTTCCTCTTCAGTTTCAGGTGCGGACGCGTCTGCCACACCAAGCGGAGGCACAGATAGGGCGCACGCGCTTGTCGAGCGTCAGGTCAGGTCAGTCGGCTGGCCCTGGTGGTGGTGGCCTTAGAACGGCCGTGTGCCACCCACCAGCAGCCACCGCATCAGCACAAGGCCGTGCCACCCGCGCTAGGGGCTCAGCTCTCCCCGCTGGGATCGCTGACCCGGCACAGCTACTACATAACCAACCCGACCCGCTCCACCATCGCTCGCCCAGAGGATGGTGGCCTTCTGGAAGACAGACCCCAACACCAGAATGAACGACGACCCATCACGAAAGCCCCCGCCACGGCGAGGCCACAACTTCCAGCGCCCGCAGATCTACGTGCACGTCGAGTTTGGCGTGTCGTGGACCCACGGCCGCGTGCCCAACCACCACGAACGCACCTATCGCTCCAAGGCCCTCAAGGAGAGGGGCGCCTACTTCCCCCGCCACGTGCCCCCGCCCAACACAAACTACTTGGAACCGACCACGGTGCCCTACAGCATCGACGACAACGAGCTCCAGGCCGTCTACAGAAGACAACAGGAAGAGGGCCGATCTAGGGAGCAACCTCAACAGCGGGAACAACAGCATCAGGCCCCGGTACCACGAACCGTCGTTGCCGGTTCCTCACAGCATGCCGCCCAGCGTTCTCGGCCAGAGCGGGAGCACGGCAGAAACGGTAGCAACGCTCAGCTCATCGACGGAGATGATGGGAGGCTTTCTCGCGACGACAGGTCGTCGCTGCACGGCCGCGGTCGCTCAGCCCCGCCTCCCATCAACGAGAGCCCCTGGGATGTGACAGCACAGGCACAAGCCCAGGCGTCCTACTACGCCGCCGACGCGGACCCGGCCACACCATCGGCCGCCCAGTTCGCCGTCGCCATGCCTATGGGTGTACCGGGGATCCAGGCCCAGGGGAGATCCGTCTCGGCTGGTGACGAGCGTCTGTGGAAACAGCTGCCCCAACCTCCGACCTCGTACCGCCTGGGAGAGGAGGGCATGCCATGGGACGCCCTGTCGTGGCCCACCGGCTACGAGCCTGATGCCGACCCCGAGCACACGGCATCCTCGTATCCCGGCCAGCATCGCATGCGCCAGCCCGACCCCGGCGCCAGCAGCACCAGCGCCAGCAACAACATGGCCGCCAACGTGACCTACATGCCCTACAGCCCCCCGGTCGCCAACATCCACGTCACATCGCCTCAGCAAACACCACCGCCCGTGCGTCGAAGGGGTCTGCCAGCTGGAAGCGGTATTCCGGGCGAGGGCCGCGACTTGAGTGCGCTCTCGGTGGCTATGATGACCATCGACAACGGCTTCGAGAACCAGTGGTGGAACCAGGGCCCCAGGGAACACACGATAGTGCGCACCATGCCCAACACGCCCGTGGCGGGCGGTGGCATCGACCCGGCTGGTGGTGCCGTCGCGACACCCCAAGACCAATGGTTCGTCAGCCCAGAGTCGGCACGGGTTCAGCCCCGGTTCCACGACTTGACTGCCGCATCCCTGGGCTGGGCCGTCGCGTCGCCGCCCGCGCCGCGCCAGCCGCAGCTGCACCTCGACACACATAATCAGCGCAACCGCGCATCCCACGCCGCCAGTGTCAGCACGGGCAGCATCGTGTCGCCCATGACGCCGCCCGACTACGCGCGCCTCGGCAGGACGCTCTCTACCCGCTCCGAGGAGGCCTACCTCTCGGGCGGACGATATGCATGAGGTATAAAGGAGATACGATTACACAACACCGCGAACCAGCAAGTGACCAGTCACGAAACTGGATTTTCGGCACGCTTAATTCAGCCTGGGCTATATAGATGGGAAGATGAAGCTTGGGCACACTTTTTTTCTGGGTACATATCATAGCGGCACGGAGTTTTATGGGTTCTGTGATGGTTTCATGCTGCGGTATCCTCCAAGCCCGTTCGCTCACAGCACAAACAAGCATACATATAATTGAATATCTGATCTAGGAAACGAGAGATGGAAGTTTCTCCAAGTAAAGGGTGCGTCATGGTCGACATTTGTTCCAAGAGCAATGGGCCGAGGAAGGCCTCTGGCTGGTAGCATATCTCGTTTGCACAAATCTACATTTTGGCTCGCTGAGATTTGGGTCGCTGAGAAGACAGCAAAAGCACGGGCACGCGGACACGAATCTTGACCCGACGGTGGCGAGTGGCCAAGCCAGAAGGAGCGTAGTCAAGGAGCTGTTGGCGTCGGCAGCATCGGCGAAGTCGTCGCTCCTGCAAGCCACAAGCTAAGGAGGCGCATACACCAGCATGGATCGTCCCGAAATTCGTCTCGAGACTCGGAAAGCCACGGCAGGTCACGGGCGCATGAAGCCCGTCATTTCTAGGCAGCCGCATTTCTTGACGTGCGATTCGCTGTCACCTTTGTTTTGCTGTCCGGTCTTTTTTTTTTTGCTTTTCAATAGCACTACCTAAACAGCCTCAAGCCAAAAAGAGGACGCGTATCTCAGCTGGCAGGCCTCACTCGCGGCTCAGGGGCTGGATGAACGAGGCGGGAGACGCGACGTCGCAGCCGCGGCGTGGATGCAACCGCTTGTTTTTTTTTTCTTTCTTTTGGTTGGCGGTGGCGGAACCGCGGAGATTTGTCTAGGACTGCTACATAGCCGGCCGTCCGCGATGCCACCTCCCTACCTGTGTTGGGGTCTATCTGTCCTGCTCCTAGGCTTGGGGGTTTTCGGGCTTCCCCTGAAAGCGGTAGGTGGGCAGCTGGCGGGCTTGGAGGCATGATGCGGGGGTCTTGTGTGAACCTGTTTCTTCCTCCTCTCGGTCGCCCATCATCTCCGTGCTTGATAGGGCCATGTTTACGAAACAGATGTTACGGAGGGGTGATGGGCGATGGGGAGCCACGGGGGGGGCCCGAGGGGCGTCTCCCTCTCCTCTCTTGGGACCCGGCGCGCGATGGGAGCGACGAACGAGCGAGGTTTTTGCTCCTTCGAACGCCCACCGGGCGAGGGATGGATGGGGGGGAGTTTCTTTCGCGTTCCCGTCCGTTCGTCCACAACGGGCAAGGGTTAACTCCGAACACAAACAAACAAGACACAAAAAAAGCGTGCTGGCCAACATGACCCCACTGCCACGTATCTGGCATGTGAACCGACGGGGCACTTGTTGCTCCCCACTGCTCGCTGTCTTTTCCATTGCGTGTGTGGGTGTTTTCTCTCTCTCTCTCTCTCTCTCTCTTTTGACAGTGTTGAGATGTGGGCGTTGTATCCCTGCATCGCGGGGAGGCTGTGTTGAAGCCCTTTTCTCTCCCTGAAGGATCCGCACCCCTGGCAGAGCCAGCACACGCACACATACTAGTAAACACACAATCTCTCTCCCTGTCACTCCTGTCTCCCATGGCTTTCTATTCTAGAGTGGAAAGGTCGGCGGCAGGGGGGTTATATGGCAGAGGGGAAAACACAGACGTGATATCGTAAACCGAACATACTCACACGTGCTCGACCTGCTCTCCAAGGGGCCAACTGAACACCTAGATGCCCTAGGTAGTCCCAGACGCAAGGCACGGAAAAGAGGAGCGCTGCCGCCGGGCCAGACCTGCTCCTGTGCGTGCGCGCGCGTGTCGGGCCTCAACTTACCCCTTCCCCCGCCTCCTCATCGCACAGGAACAAAGAAACGTGGCGGGCTGTTGTCCGGCAGCTCATGCCGTAAAACTAACCCACTCAAGGCACCACATCCCTCGCGTGCCCTTTTTTACTCCTCGCTGGTATAATGGGGGGTTCCGGGTCATGGCTGAGCTGCTGGCCTTGGGGCTTGGGCCTTGCCCTGGCCCAAAGTAGTCGATGTTGTCAGGCGTTGCTTTCCACCCGTCAGTGACCGCTACTTTACCCCGAGCGAAGAGGCAGAGAGCATAGAAGAGGAAGAGGCAAAGCCTGCAGCATCATCAGGTAAGCGAAACCGCAATCGGTAGCACCGCACAGCCCTCATCACCACCCCCCCCATCTCTCAGGGGCTAACCCACACATCAACCATCAACAGCTGGCCCATCAGCACACGGCAACATCCCATCTGGATCCCCCATCTCGCAGTGGGCAATTCCACCCGGTCAAGCAGAAGGATGAAGCCAGGGAGGCGCCCCTTACCGCTAGCCGAACCCGCTCCAGCTCCTCCCTCCTCCCCCAAGGCAGAAAGAAGGAGAGACCAGACCAGAGACCGGCAAGGCAGAAATGCAAAAAAAAAAAAAAAAAGAAAAAAAAAAGGAAACTGCTCGCACAGTCATGCAATGCTACTGTATCAGCTGCTAGCCGCGCTGCTACCTACACCCTGGCTCCTTTTCCCGGCCCTCCCTCCCGCTCGGCGAGATGCTCGGGAGCCAAGAAGGGGGGCCTTGATGGTACCTACTCTATCTTCGCAGACGCCGCTCCTGTGCATGCTGTGTGGCCGGCAAGGGGATGTCCGTCGAAAACGATCGCGAGGCAGCGCTCTTATTTCTGTATTCTGGTTGCGAGCTGGTGTACAGCCGCTTCCCCCGCCTCCTGGCGCTGGGTTGAACCTGACTGAGTGGCAGTTGCTTGGTTCCTACTCCTACTACGAAGATTGTAGCCACATGCGAAGGGGATACGCAGATACATCG